CTTGGAGCCTGTTTGGATCGCATGGATCCCTTGGAGAGTGAAGTGAAAGACCATGGCAGCTGGGGGGGAAGATGGGATCTACCATCTCGTTCTGAATGGCAAGTTCATCAACGGCTAGGAGTTCCTTGGCCTACTGGTGCACCTTCGACCCAGGAGGTAAATGCTGTTCAAGCCGCGCGCAAAGAGTTCCACTGGCGTTCCATGACCAGTGATGAGAAGATCGCCTTTGCAGAAGCCGCCAAGCAGGCTTGGGCAGTCTGGGAGGAGAACGATGCCATTGAGATCCTGACGCCTGAAGAGTCTGATGAAGTGAGAAAGAGGCTCAAAGCTTGCAAAGAAGACAGCCGCATACTCACTCCGCGGTATGTTTTCACTGATCGCCATGAAAGCTTGCGAACAGCTCAAAACCCTTTGCCGCTCAAAGCCCGTGCCAGAGTGATCGTGCCAGGATACAAGGATGTGTTCTCCTTCGCGTTGCGCAAAGATGCGCCTACTGGTTCCAGAATCTCCCAACACCTGCTCTTCATCTACACGGCGCACAACTCCAAAAGACATCCGGAGCCAAAGGATTGCTGGAGATTGATGAGTGCTGATGTGAAGTCTGCCTTCTTGAAGGGCGACGCCTACATGGAGGGGACCAGGGAGTTGTTTTTGGAAAACGTGAAGGGTGATGATCCAAAGCTTCCTTTTGGCAACCAGTTGGCAAAGATTCGCAAGGGCGTGTTTGGTCTTGCTGATGCGCCAAGACAATGGTACCTCAAGCTCAACCAGTCGTTTTTTGGAGGCCGGTTGGGAGAGAAGTGTCATTGACTATGCTTGTTGGATGCTGTGGTCAGAAGATCGAAAACAGCTGGAAGGGATGGTCATATCCCATGTTGATGATCTTTTGCTTGGTGGCAACTCCAAAGCTCAAGAGAGCCTGATGGCAATCGGTGCCAAGCTTGGATTCGGGACAGTGGAGTTCGACGACTTCGTCTTCTGTGGAAAACGAATCCGAATGGTGCCCTCTGGAGAGATTGAGTTGTCCATGGTGGAGTACCACAGCAATTTGAAGCCAGTGGCAGTTCCAACTTCTCGCAGGGCAATGCCACAAGCAGAATTGAGCGACAGTGAACGTCGCCAACTCAGAGCCATTTTAGGTTCTTTGCAATGGTTGGTAGCCCAGCTGAGATTCGACCAAGCCTATGCCCTCAGCACACTCCAAGGTGAGAAACCATGTGTAGCCACGTTGACAAAGGCAAACCTCCTAGTGAAAGAGTTCAAACGGCGGAGCGACTTCAAGCTGGTTTTCCGTGACCTTCCTTTGGAAAAGGCAGGGATCCTTGTGATTTCGGACGCCTCCTTGGGAAATACCACAAAGTCCGGTGGTGTTGAAGGTCAAGAGAAGTTGTACAGCCAGAGCTCCTACTTCATTTTGGTTTGTGATGAAAACCTTCTTCAAGGACGAGAAGGGTGGTTCAATGTTTTGGACGCACGAAGTCATCGACTTCCCAGAGTCTGTCGATCGACGTACAGCTCTGAAACCCTTGGTTTGGAGGAGGCAATGGACGCTGGTGTTTTCTGTCGTGGATGTTTCAGCGTGCTGGCTGGTCTTCCGATGGAGCGGAGAGACGCTCATAAAGTCATGGAGGTGATCCCGATGACGGCAATTACAGATGCCAAGGACACTTTCGACAGAGGAAACAGTGACACCAACACGTATGGAGCGCAGAAGTCACTCGCCTTCTCAGTAGCCTGGATCAGGGCTACCCTTGGAGGAGCCAACACCTCACTCAAGTGGACGGCGACAGCCAACATGTGGGTTGACGCAGGTACCAAGGAAATGCCACTTGACCACCTGCACAAAATCCTAGATTGTGGACGATGGAGCTATGTGTTTAATGCCAACTACGTGAAACAGCCCAAGAAGAAGAAGATCACTGATGCTGCAGTGAAAGGGCCGTTGCCTGGTGTTCCCCTGGAAGGCAAAATGCCAATTCTCCCGTTCCTGCTGAATGTTTGTAGGAATCCCGGGTGGCATCAGAAATCGGGTTTGGTAGTTCACGTCGCTTATGGAGCGAAATCCTTTCGAGTTCCCGATGCTAGGTACAGTGTTTGGCGTTTTCCCCTCCGAAGTACATATGGAAGATTTGACCTTGAAGATGGTCGCTCGGAGTGGAGGGTTTTGGAGTCGAAAGAGGATTTGACTCTACTCGGAAAGAAGCAGGAGCTTCTTGGTTGTGTGGCAGATTGTTTGGTGAGCGTTTTCCAGTCTCGGATCAAGAAAGAAAAGATATCTACTGAAGAAGCGAACTTGTTCGATCGGCATTGATCCGGACTGAGAGAGCGTCGTGTTTACCCGATGGCATTTAGGCGCCTCAAGCCTTAGGTTACGCATCCGCCTCGGTGGAAAACGGCTGACGGCAGCGACTGCTCGCTGCTTTGTTTCAGTGGCACCGGAGCTATCTGGTTGGTTGGGGCCTGTTGTTTTGCGCTGCTCTCCGCTTCGCTTTGCTTGGTTGGTCTTTTGCACGGACAAGGCCTTTGTTCTTGAGTTTGTGCCGGGTGCACCAGGCGGTTCACTCGGTGACGGTCGGGGACAGGGCGAATAAGTTCTTCCTGGGTTCTTTGGCCCCTTGATCCTTTTGATAGGCACGCGCCTTGTTCGATAGGTTCGAGGAAAAGGAGTTCGAGAAGAGGAATTTGACTTTTTGCTGAAGCTTTCACCTGTTTCATCGCCTTCCTGAGGAAGGCGTCTTCTTTTGAGGCACCATGTCGGATGAGAAGGACGCGAATGGAGGTGCTTGGAGTCGCGTCCCTACCTGGGACGGAAGTCCTCAAACATGGAGGACGTTTCGTCGAGAGATGTCATGGTGGTTGGCTGGGCTCGATATCCAGTCGACCAAGAAATACAATTTGGCCGCAAGATGGTTGCTTCGCCAAAGCGGCATGGTGAAGCAGAGAGGAGAAGAATTTGATCCAAGCGAATTGGAGTACCAGAAAGAGGTCAAGTTGCCGGATCCCACTACCGGCGACGATGTGGTGGTGACACCTGAGGACCCGCTCAGTGGCATCAACAAGCTTTTGGCTGCGCTAGAATCGATGACCGGGAGGACATCCCTAGACAAGAGAGGTGAATTGAGGAATGTCTTCTACCTGGAGCTCAAGCGTCGATCCGGCGAACGGATCTCTGAGTTCGCTACTCGGTTCAGGTCCTTGGTTTCTGAACTTCGAGCTGAAGGTGTGGTCATAGCAGATGGCGAGTTGGGTTGGTGGTTCAAGCATAAGTTGGGTTTGGATGCCATCCGCACCCAGCTCCTGGAGACGGCACTTGGTGGAGCTGAAGATTACCCAACAATAGAACGTGAAGTTCTGAGGCTTTTCAAGGACTTGCATGTTGCTGACCCGCTTCACCGCAGGTCAGATGGAGAACGAGCTCCTTTGCTTCAGAAGTTTCTCAACCAGCAAGGTCCTTCCTCGAGTCGCCCTTCGTCATACGCCCCCTCTATGGCCAGTTCTGCACCCAGGTCCTTCAGGTCAGGTTCGTCGACCACCTCTTCGAGTCGGTTTACCTCGTACCGTCGTCCTGCTCCGGCCAAACAGGCCATGGTGTCGGAGGTGGATGATGAGAATGACGAGCTCCCTCATGAGCAAGAAGAAGATGAACCTGAAGGTCAGTCCCTGGAGGAAGTCCTCCAAACAGAGGCTGAGGTGCTGGCGGCCGAGGTGGAGGAGGCCGCAGCCAGCGGTCTTGACCAAGAGACCCTTCAAGAAGTTGAAGATAGTGTTGAAGCAGCTGCTGAGGCCTTTTTGACCATGAAAGAGGCCAGGTCCAAGTTGCAAGAAGTTCGACGTGATCGTGGATATGGCAAGCCATCGCCTTCCAGCACTTCCAACGCAGGCAAGGTGAACTTGAAAAAGCAATCGGACAAACACCCGTGTTTCGATTGCGGGCTTCCTGGACACTGGGCTGGAGATTCTGAATGTCAAAAGCCAGGTCAGCAGCTTGGGAGGAAGAAGTCAAAGTCTCCCCAGAAGCAAGTCAAGGTGACCGAAGCGCTGAACACTGAACATGGTGCTCCAGCTTCGGATGATGGTCATGAAGTCTTGATGACTTTTCGAGACGCGAAGCCTCTTGCAGAAGGTTTCGAGATGGCCTTGGACATGTCTCACAAGCCCAAAGAGGTCAACGCCTTCAGCGTGCTCTCGACCGACAAAAGGCTGGTTGGTGCTTTGGACAGTGCTTGCAATAGAACATGTACCGGGCCGGAATGGTTGTCAAGCTTTTTGAAACGACTTCGTGCAACTGCCCCCCAAAGAAGTGATCGACCTCGTGAAGGTTGAAGATGAGAAAGAGACATTTCGTTTTGGCAACGGAGGAACCCAGATCAGCACCCAGCGCTGGCGGCTTCCGACGGTGATTGGAGGGGTCACTTTGTGTTTTTGGACATCGGCGGTTCAGGTTCCTTCACTTGGACTCCTCTTGGGCCGGGACTTTTTGGAAGCGGTTGGGGC